ACTGGTGGGTGCAGCCTGAACTGTCTAGAGACAGACCAGACCAGCTGCACAACACAGACACTTCAAACCTGAGGACAAAAACTAGGAGAACAGAAAAAGGAAAGGAAACTTAGCTTAGAACCATGCAGCGCTACAGGAGACGGCAGCACTGCAGAGGTGAGGACCGGCACCTGTTTGAAAGAGACAAATACACACAAACACACAACAACAGACGAGAAACAAACACACAGAGAGGAAAAAGTGGTTATACAGAACTTGAGGACATTACCTACATGTAAATATATAAATACTTATACATTTGTTGGGTTTTCTTTAACAATGTCAGAAGGAGAGAGGCACTGAGGCACCGTCTTCCGCCCCCCGACGCTCCTGCTGTGCCTCCTCCTTCTGACAGGAACTGCCTACAGAACAAGTATGAATGATGCCTGAGTGGACACACACAACTCACAAGTTCCTGGCTCTGTCAGCTCCTCTGCAGAGGGTTTCCCTAAGAAGGTGGACCTAGCAGGGTCACCGGGGGACGGGGAGCTGTGCCTCACGGCCCTCACTTCGTCGGAGAAACCCTCATGCAGAGTTCAGAAACTTGTGTGTTGAGTATGTCTTTGTGAGCCTCCACCATTTACTGGTGGGTGCAGCCTGAACTGTCTAGAGACAGACCAGACCAGCTGCACAACACAGACACTTCAAACCTGAGGACAAAAACTAGGAGAACAGAAAAAGGAAAGGAAACTTAGCTTAGAACCATGCAGCGCTACAGGAGACGGCAGCACTGCAGAGGTGAGGACCGGCACCTGTTTGAAAGAGACAAATACACACAAACACACACAACAACAGACGAGAAACAAACACACAGAGAGGAAAGAGTGGTTATACAGAACTTGAGGACATTACCTACATGTAAATATATAAATAATTATACATTTGTTGGGTTTTCTTTAACAATGTCAGAAGGAGAGAGGCACTGAGGCACCGTCTTCCGCCCCCCGACGCTCCTGCTGTGCCTCCTCCTTCTGACAGGAACTGCCTACAGAACAAGTATGAATGATGCCTGAGTGGACAACACAACTCACAAGTTCCTGGCTCTGTCAGCTCCTCTGCAGAGGGTTTCCCTAAGAAGGTGGACCTAGCAGGGTCACCGGGGGACGGGGAGCTGTGCCTCACGGCCCTCACTTCGTCGGAGAAACCCTCATGCAGTTCAGAAACTTGTGTGTTGAGTATGTCGCTGTGAGCCTCCACCATTTACTGGTGGGTGCAGCCTGAACTGTCTAGAGACAGACCAGACCAGCTGCACAACACAGACACTTCAAACCTGAGGACAAAAACTAGGAGAACAGAAAAAGGAAAGGAAACTTAGCTTAGAACCATGCAGCGCTACAGGAGACGGCAGCACTGCAGAGGTGAGGACCGGCACCTGTTTGAAAGAGACAAATACACACAAACACACACAACAACAGACGAGAAACAAACACACAGAGAGGAAAGAGTGGTTATACAGAACTTGAGGACATTACCTACATGTAAATATATAAATACTTATACATTTGTTGGGTTTTCTTTAACAATGTCAGAAGGAGAGAGGCACTGAGGCACCGTCTTCCGCCCCCCGACGCTCCTGCTGTGCCTCCTCCTTCTGACAGGAACTGCCTACAGAACAAGTATGAATGATGCCTGAGTGGACACACACAATTCACAAGTTCCTGGCTCTGTCAGCTCCTCTGCAGAGGGTTTCCCTAAGAAGGTGGACCTAGCAGGGTCACCGGGGGACGGGGAGCTGTGCCTCACGGCCCTCACTTCGTCGGAGAAACCCTCATGCGAGTTCAGAAACTTGTGTGTTGAGTATGTCGCTGTGAGCCTCCACCATTTACTGGTGGGTGCAGCCTGAACTGTCTAGAGACAGACCAGACCAGCTGCACAACACAGACACTTCAAACCTGAGGACAAAAACTAGGAGAACAGAAAAAGGAAAGGAAACTTAGCTAAGAACCACGCAGCGCTACAGGAGACGGCAGCACTGCAGAGGTGAGGACCGGCACCTGTTTGAAAGAGACAAATACACACAAACACACACAACAACAGACGAGAAACAAACACAGAGAGGAAAGAGTGGTTATACAGAACTTGAGGACATTACCTACATGTAAATATATAAATAATTATACATTTGTTGGGTTTTCTTTAACAATGTCAGAAGGAGAGAGGCACTGAGGCACCGTCTTCCGCCCCCCGACGCTCCTGCTGTGCCTCCTCCTTCTGACAGGAACTGCCTACAGAACAAGTATGAATGATGCCTGAGTGGACACACACAATTCACAAGTTCCTGGCTCTGTCAGCTCCTCTGCAGAGGGTTTCCCTAAGAAGGTGGACCTAGCAGGGTCACCGGGGGACGGGGAGCTGTGCCTCACGGCCCTCACTTCGTCGGAGAAACCCTCATGCAGAGTTCAGAAACTTGTGTGTTGAGTATGTCGCTGTGAGCCTCCACCATTTACTGGTGGGTGCAGCCTGAACTGTCTAGAGACAGACCAGACCAGCTGCACAACACAGACACTTCAAACCTGAGGACAAAAACTAGGAGAACAGAAAAAGGAAAGGAAACTTAGCTTAGAACCACGCAGCGCTACAGGAGACGGCAGCACTGCAGAGGTGAGGACCGGTGTTGTGCCAAAAAGTGATTGTCTGCCAAAAACTGATTTCCGGTATTTGCCAAAAAGCGATTGCTCATATTTAAAGTGCTATAAGTAACTTGTTGGGCTATAATATGTTAAACATATGTCAAATGCATCCCTTATGGATGACATAAAGTCATCTTGAGCCACAAACAACATTCGTGTAACAAGATACAAGCCGCAATCAGTTTTTGGCAGCGACTTTTATATAACCTTTATTTATGCAGTAAAAAAAATCTCATTAACATTAAAAATGTATTTTGTAAGAGTAAGTTGCCCAACAGGACAGCAGAAACGGCAGCAAATATTACAATAGTTCTGTAAAAATATTTTAAGTGGGGATAAAGGACCGGATTGGTTATAATGTAAGTACAAGTTGTAAAGATACTTAAAAAACAGATAATTTTTTAATTCTTTATGTAACCCCTTTGTATCACCTGTTCACTGAAGTCTATTTACGAACATACGTAAAGATATTACACATAAAAAATACACAGAAATACCGGAAATCAGTTTTTGGCAGACAATCACTTTTTGGCACAACACCGGCACCAAACTTACCTTAGAAATCTGTAGGGTTGTTTCCTCCGAGACATGTTCGAATCTGTAAACAGCTACTCCAAAAAGGATCCAGGTGTTTCAAAATACCTCTTTGGTGAACGTTTCAATTCTGCTAACATAAATGCTGCAATTAATGAACTAAAAGTCAGTGCTCTTCACCCCTATTTATAGACTTTTGCGGATCAACGGATTAAAGCATCATAGGACCAAATTTGTTGTGAGATTCTAAACATATGTGACATCATCATTCTGTAAGCCGAATAGGGCTTTGGAGCGTGATGTCACAGGAGGCGGGCCACGCCCCCCGCCGCCATGACAGTAGGCCAGACAAAGGATACAGCTTCAGCTATGGTTCCTACGTGTTGTGTAGTTGGTTGCAACGTTAGATCTCACGATCGTGAAGGCAAGACACTGGATAATGGGCTATGTTTTCATCGTTTTCCATCCTGGCGGCAACGTGAGGGATCCCATGTATCCGATATCACCAAACAAAGACGCCAGGCATGGGAGCGGATATCGAGTTCTGTGCAATCCCCAGCTTTTTGTTGATTTGCTCGCGGTATTTTCTCTCCGGTGAGTTATAAATTAATTCATATCACTATCCGGTTGTTCAGTCTGACTTCACTAGCCGTGTCTGGGTCTAATCCGCAGTCCAATATCAAACGATCACTGTGGCATTACTGAGAGTTGAAAAACTGTCTAAAGTCTTTCATCTTTAATAAAATGATCAGCGTTCTGATCTACCAGGTGTAACAATTGAGTTTAACATCCAGGCATCCATGAAAACGGAATTTATGACATTTAACGGAGTTAGAAGTTAGCAGGGAGTTAGCTCGCCAGCTTCTATCTAAATACAATATAGCATGTCCTGACTGCGGGGTTTTGGAAACAAATTCAAACGTACAGCTCTGTTATCACTTCCAGCATAAATGAAGACAGAAAACTAAACAGCAGTGACGTTTGTAGGGTTACTGAAGTTGGGCTAGCTGGTATATAATGATGTGCTACGTGACCGCTAGCGACACAGCTATGTTAGCATAATATAAACAAGCTAACTTTTTTTCCACTAGATAAAAGTTAATGTGAGTGTTCCTGGTGGTCAGGAACAAATGTAATCGCATGGCAGGATGCTGTAAAAGGACCAAACTTCAGCCAGGAGAACAACTGAGATAATCCATCCACAATACGAGGTTAGTCATTCATATACTGCTGCATGGGCTGGGCTGTAGTTACATCCTAAGGTTTTAAAAACTGAGCTCTAATAAATGATTAGCGGTAATAAAAGCCGAGGGAGGTCAACAGTGATCACTGACTGTTTTAGGAGCTTTTTGAGATCAAATAGAATAAAATAAACATAAAAAAAAGAGATTTCTTTAAAGGTAAGGATACCGTTTGACGAAATCTCTTCTCAATCTGCTGTCCTTTTCTGCTTGCATCTTTTTTTTTCATCTAACACTGACGTTATTCCATGTTAATTATTTTTTCTCCGTGAAAAACACAGCAACTCATCTTATCCCGGGGTGCCAGGAAGTCGAGCCGCGGATCTCAGCAGAAAACTTTTCAAACTGATTCCAGGTTGATCCAGGTATACATTTGAAACAGGTTCTCCTCGGTGACGTGACAGTCGGAACGCATCTGCGTAACCATGGTTACAGGGGGACGCTTTGGAGCTCTGCTGCTCAGCAACAAAATATTTCAGATCAATATGTAAATACTAGACAATTCTAAAACCAAGTAAAATAAATATGCTGCATATGTGTATAGTGCGTTCATGTGTGTGTGTGTGCGCTGCGTGGTGACGTAGGCGCGTGCATGTGTGCCCCGGTCACAGCTCCTTTCAGCATGGCCGGAGGTAAGTCACTGCCACTTTGCTCTCAGCTAATTAAAGTTTGTTCAGATCCCAAGCTGCAATGTGAATACAGCCAAACCGCCGCGTTTTTGTTTGTCATTAAGAGACTCATTCGAGATAAGTTTTGTGGAGGGCAGAGTTCACTAATATACGCTTATGAGTTTTAGCCGAGAACGCAGCTAAAATGCTAGCATGCTAAGTTAGCCTGATTGCTAGCGGCTACTCGCGGCAGTCTTTTTTAACAGCGTGCACTCTTTTTTCCTTCGTCAGGAGAGGTGTACTGGCAGTCGCGTGACACACACAGATCAGACACATATTTCTGTGTTGCAGGTATGGAGATGTTCTTATGTTTTGGAGATGCTGTCTTTCATTCATTGTTTTTATAAGTACAGTGTTGTACTGCCTGTTAGATGGCGGTTATTAATATAATTGTACTGAAGTATAATGTTTGAACTATAAGTACCAGAATATTGGGTCCTGGTTATTGAATTGTATTTATCTGACTGTTTATTTGTTTTTGAATTCTTTTGTTTATTGTTCTTATAAGTTGTTTTTGATGTTTTTTTCAGTGACATATTATTTATTTTGTGCTTTTTGTTTTTGAGAGCTTAAGTTAATGTTTTAAAACAATTTGTTGTATTTGATTCATTATATTATTGTAGTGTTAATGAAGCTGCAGACACAGCTGCTTTCAGCATGGTCGGAGGAGAGGTGTACTGGCAGTCGCGTGACACACACAGATCAGACACATGTTTCTGTGTTGCAGATGTGCAGTAAAGAGCCAAAGACCCAGTACTGTCTCCTGCCTCTTACTTTCACGCCAGAACACAACGCAAGAACAACAGGCGTAACACATGAACGGGTTACACATACTGAGGTGAGTTGTTGAGGATATGTCGAGCTGTCGATAAGCACGGCTGTTTCTGTGCTCTTATATACTGTTAGCCTGTTTTGCTGGCGTTAGTGAAGCTGTTTCCAACTGGATGTAACATTGTTGAACTCTGATGATTAATGAATAAACTCTCGATGTGACGACGTGAGCATGTAATTGTAACCCTGTGTTCATTTAGTCGTTTGATACCGTTTAATATCCAGCACATCTATTGGGTGTTTTATAACATGCCCTGGAATCAGTTTAAGTTTTACAATGCCGGTGATTTACGACTCTTTCGCGACAGTCAACTGTGGCGTAAACTCTGGCGGGTCTCAGAGCTAGCTTATGTGAGCCAGCAGTGACATCTATACATGCAGTAGCCTTAAAATACTGATTATTTATTCTCCTGCTAGGTAAGAATTTGTGTTTTATACGTTTATTGTCACATTGTGCGCCATGTTATTGTTTCGGTGAAATGAATTTCTACAATGGCGGACTTAGACAAAATAGTGTTACTGTTAATTTGACTCTCTGCAGTGTTTAAATGCTTACATATACACACACACAGTTACTGTCCCTCCACACGTATCAGTTCTGCTTCTATGCCCCATCTTTGTTTACTCTTTCCCACCCAACAAGTGCATAAATAAGATGTTAAAAACGTCATCATCATATCAAACATGATCGATTTGGGGGGAGTTTGTTTGGCACATGCTGACTGCATCCTAATTATAACCAGAAGAGGAGGCGAGAGGAGAGAACGAGAGTGCAGCAGTTTGGTGAAAGGAACAGGTGAAGAAGAGGTGAGTATCCAAGAGACGAGCAAGAGGACGGTTTCAAAGCAGACATTATGGCACAATAAAAGCTGTAAGAGCAGAGATTCATTCATATCTTTACTATTTTTCTTTAGCTTCTACTCCCGCTGCTTACAATAAATCCAAGATAAAGAACAAACAAGAACAACTCACATGGGATTGATTGTTTAGTTCAGTGTCACTCTGTGATTGTTTGACATTTCATATAAATGTGACTCTAAACTATAGCCAATAATATTAAAAAGCTGCTGTTACTGAGTGAAACTTGAAGGATTATGATAAACTTCAGTTCTTACTGAATCTGTAACATTGCTTTTTTTTTAATTGTTAAATGACTTTTGTGTCACTGCACAGTGAAAAGCTCACCTGATGTAGTGGTGAGGCCATGTTCACCACTAGATGGAGACAACCTGGCACAGGTATTTTCTATACACTAAATTTCACCCTGAAAAGCCTTGGTGGGAATTGTTGTTTCATAGAAAGTAAAGGAAAACATGTCTTGAGGTCTTTTTCCAGTGTTTTCAAAATTGTTTTTCACATACACATCAAAACTTCACACAGACAAACACACACAAAATAACAAAATATGTCAAATTATGGAGGGCAGAGAGCGCAGCCTTTACATTGTGTTATTGTAGAGTGACAGGAACTGCCTATCAGCTTCTGATCAAGCAGAAGTGTTGACGGAAAATCTATCAAAGGAAATAATTGATGAAAATCAAAGAAGAGAAATATTTATGTGATGTTCCATTTTCCTGAGAGCTGATTGGCTGTGACGACTCCTTCAAGTACTACATGCTACTTTGTCCTGCTAGTTAAGCCTGCTGTCTGTTCTCAGGCCTCCTCCTGTTTCACTGCCATATATCCACCACCAGAGGGCTCCACTGACCTGCCTGCTGACATCAGAGCACACCCCTGTGTCATGTGACCTGGCAGGAGTAGCAAAGCTGGACTCAGACCTGGCCCAGGCAAGTTCAAAGGCAGCTGTGGTAGAGAGAGGATATGGGCTCAAATTGTGCTCATAAATATTGTGTACTTGTAAATCAGGATTTGTGTGTGTGTATGGGATCAGAACGATGCCACCTTGAAATGAAACCGAAAAAATATTGAAACTGAAAAAAATATTGAAACTGAAATAAATGTACAGCGCGGCTGCGGTCACGGAGAGGTCCAGCGTTTACATTACCGACTATTTCAAAGTGACAGCCTGAGGTGTTCTTCAGTAAATTGGACTACCAGACAGGAGGACCTGAGGCCCCACCGTATTATTTTCGGTAAGTTAAATGTGTGTGTAAGTTAATCCGTAACTTAGGTCCTTAGGTGAGCACTCGGCTGTAGGGGAAACTTGTTTTGTAAAGTTCGTTTAGCTAACCCGTGCAGGTGAATGAATTTACCCTGACTAAAGAAATCAAGAGAAACGCACCGGGCTGCTCAGTGACTAACCACGGTTACTGTGCTTTTATTATGAGTATTATACTGTAAGAGCAACAGGCTGGACTCTGCTTCTGCTCCTGTGCAGAGCTGCTTATTAATAAGAAGCTCGGTATACAGACAAGGATAACACAATACCCGGGCTAGAACGACAACTTCAGTTTGAGGCGCATGTCCTCCTGACATTTGGTGTTTGTGTTAACGATCCAATGGAAAAGCTTTGATGGGAGTGAGCTGTTCACTTGCACTATAGCACACAAAACGCTGCGCTGAGCACTGAGTGTTGCATCCGTGTACACACTGCATTGCTTCATATTTCACTCGTAAAGTAGGAAATGGGTGGAGCAGTTTATTAAAAGGGTAAACGTACATGGGTTTGATTGTACGGCCCAAACAGAGCTGGCACAGGTCTAACAAGCATGAAGGGACAAACTGAGTGTGACATAAGGAAATGCTTACATGTGTAATTATCTTGATTACTGGTGAAGGACTACGTCACATGTAATCAAACATGACTCATTACTTATAAAAGCCCTTTAACTAAAAGTGTATCAGAAACTCTCCTCTACTGTTTACTCTGTTTATCACCCAACAGTGACCTCGACCCTCTTCAAGCTCCTCACTGGTCAATTCGAGTCAGGACGGCTGAAAATCCTCAGTGTTTACTGGGTAAGTTAAACTGATCAGTGGGACACTCAGGGACAGAGACCATGATGCTTTGGGGCAGACCACAGAGGTTTTACTAGTCAGTACAGATTTCAAACACACCGCTACATACTACATGTTGTATTTTTCTGGTTGCTAATACACTTGGATCCATTACAAACATACACATTGTTGTGGGATGTGTGAAGACTTTTTATGGCTTTGTTTTTTGTCCAAACAGCACAGAGGAAACTATTTCTAAGCCAAGAGGCTAAAATTCATGCATCAAATGATGCGCAGCAGATAAGACGGATGTAATCAAGCTTCCGATAGAAAGAACATGGTAAAGGACAAATAAAGTGTCTTTTTTCCTCATTGTTCTCTGTGTGGGCCTCCTACTTCCTCCCACAGTCCAAAGACATGCAGTTAGTGGGGACAGGTTCATTGGGGCTCTAAATTTCCCACGGTGTGAATGTCTGTCTCTGTTTGCCCTGCGACAGACTGGCGACCTGTCCAGGGTGTGCCCCGCCTCTCATGACAGCCCCAAGCACTTTACATGTGATGTAAAGTGGACTTTTCTTTTGTTGCCACGTCCATGATTTAGAAAATGTTACACAGATGTTGTCCTGCTTCGCTGTGCTGAAGCGTGTGCTTCATGGGAAGTTTGAATAAGAAAATATCAGGTCAGTAACTGTTTTGTGTTCCCTGTAGGTGAGGCTGTGACAGAGCTCTTTAAACTCTGCTGTAGGACTGAGTCTACAGAGGAGATTCCTGAAGAGGAGACGCTGAAGATGAGGGCAAAGGTCAGGTTCCTGGCTTTACTTGTTGAGTGACCATACTGCATTCTGGAAACGTGCGTAGCTTACTGGGAGATCTGGGCATCTGTGCTGACCCGGGCCTCAGCAATTGAACAGAAACTCTTGGATGTGTTTGTCGTCTGTAGAAAACAGTGATATCAGCTCTGCTTTGTCCAAGCTGACCGAGCCAGCAGCAACTGTGCCCATTTCCAAACTGTCTCCAACATGGTGCACAGTGCCCGGAAGCACATTCGCCGCCATCAACGCATCGATGAGTCGCCCCTTAACACCGAGATACTCAATTCTGTCCTTCTGGTAAGAGTTAATCATGTAACCTGTTTAAAAGGCATTAACTAGTCGGACTTGACTGATACTTGACTGAGTTTTAATGGTTTCAGCTCATTTTATGAGGAAACTGATTCTGACAGAAGAGGTGTGGATCCCGTGTTAGGAGACGGTGAGCGTGATATTCAGAGCAGCAGAGACCTCGCAGCGTGTGGTAGTTTGACTCGTACTGATGTGGCTCCTCTGCTTCTTTTCACAAACAGTTTTTCCTTCCTGGTCACTGTTGAGCCCGTCACACTCAGCAGCTCGAGCTAAGACAGCCTTGAATCTTAAAACTATAGCCGTAATTGCATTTATGTCTTAGAGTGCTGGCCACAGATATTGATCCCATCTGACAGCAGCTCAGTAAAGCACAAGAGCGTCGTCTTAAACAGGATATCAGGCAGCGTTCTTATTTTTATTGTCTACTTCTGGTCACATCCTGCTTTTGCCACTGAGTGATCAGCATCCTGTGTTTTATCATGAAGTGATGACTACGTGAGCTGCACTTGTTTAATTCTTCTAACATCTATAAAACAACAGAGTTTCTAAATGACAGACTTATTTATTTGTGTTTGTGTCTCTGTTTCCAGATGCTGCTGTGGAGAAGTCTGACTGTAAGAATAACACTCAGCTGTCCAACTCCAGTGGGACATCGGAGCAAGAGGAAACCTCTGATTATGTATGTTTGCCTCTTCACCACTCGCACACTCAAGGTTACACTCAGGTCAGGTCCAACATAAGTTTCAGAGTGAAGACGGGCTCAGTGCTGTCAGTACTTTGTCAGGATTTTTATTAGAATGTATTAAATTTGGTGTCCTGCTGTTTGATTTCATGCTGGTCTTTTCCCTCGTTGTAGAAGCTTTTCCACCAGCTGAAGTCAGCCCCCAGTGACAGTCTGACCTACCGTCTGGCTCTGTGTGTGTGTCTGGTCAACTATTGCTACGGTGGGCTGTTGGACACCTCTGGCAGGAGTTTGTCCTTGAGTTGCGTTACCGGTGGGAAAATAACCATCTTATTTGTGGGTGGGTACCTCACAGGCTCGTGCTGCTTTGATTTTAAAGATGTCACACATATTAACATTTTCATTCTATAGCAGGTAAAATAAGTATTGAACACGTCAGCAGTTCTCTAAGCAAATATATTTCTAAAGGTGCTTTGATGTGAAATTATCACCAGATGTCGGTAACACGGGAACATTAAACACACAGACATTTATTTATTACTTTATACAAATGTTGGTGATGACAGTTCATGGCAGCGTCTGTATGGAGAAACCAGTCCCATCATTGCTCATGACTTTGACCCACTCACCACACAAACAGTCTATAAATCCCGAATGCTCCGTGGATCCTTCCCACAGATTCAGCTCAGGTGATTGGCTGGGCCGTTCCAGCAGCTTTACTTGATTCCTCTGAAACAACAGTTTCCATCGGCTGTGTTTGTGATCATGGTCTTGCTGAAACATCCATCCTTGTTTCATCGTCATCATCCTGGTAGATGGCAGCAGATTTTAATCAACAATGTCTCCATTCATCCTTCCTGGAGTTAGATTTAATGGCTCAGTCCCTTTTGCAGCTTGTTATAAAGTTTTTATGCATAACTTTTCTAAGCAATCACACATTTTTTTGGGAACATCAAAATCATAATGCTCCCACCTCCAGACTTCAGTGTTGCTGTGGTGTTTTTGGGATGCAGCCACCCAAACACGGTGTGTTTACAGCATTCAGAGAGTTTTGCTCTTAACAAAGGCAGTCGCACTTTTCTCCTCTCCCTTAGCTTCCCTGCTTAGCCTCTTGTGTCCTTGTCTTGTGTTTTTTATTACTTTTCCCTGGAACACTCTCTCACAGTCTGTTCTCTAAAACCTAAAAGAGGAATTATGGATTGGATCAACTGCCCCCTGAATGCAATTGACACCCCTTTCTCAACGAGAAGTCTGGGCTCGGGTGAGCCTGAGTGCTGAAGATATCTACCTATTTGGAGCCATGATAACAGGGTTCTGGCTGATCGGAGCTGGCTTGGCCCTGACTTATCGAAGAATTAAGAAAGCGGAACCGGCTGTTCAAACCCCCACAAGGCTGCCCGCTGGGATTCAAACGATGGGAAGAGGCGTGAGTTTCTCAAAATGGGCTCATTGAACGCAGCATGGATAAGATCTTGGAGAAGCTCACTGCGGTCGTTGTTAACTTGTTATTTTCTGTTATACTGCGAGAGTACTGTTGCCCGCGAAGGGTTGTTGTTGGTGTGGAGAAAAATGGCGTAACAAATAAAGCGCTTGGAGTGAGACTACGACGTCGTGTCTTTGAGTTCTCAGAATCGGCTCTCTGAGCACAAGAATGACAACATCACGGAGCGCAAGTTTGATAACATCATGGAGAAGCTCACGGCTCTCCAACTGGAGATTGAGAGACCAGTGTCGGAGTGTTAGAACAGCTTTGAAATTCATATGAGCTGTTCGCACTAAAGTAAAAACCTCCATCACTTACGCGGATACCCCTTCGGCCCCAGCCGTGGGCTCAAGGCTGGAGCCGAACCACAACTCCCTGATAACGACTGTGTTTAGACTGTTCTTCCCACTCCATGCAAGGCCACCTGGGTTGGCTGGAAGACTGTTTACTTAGCCTGGCAGGGAGGAGGACACTGTCTCAGCTGAACTCTGGACACACACACACATACAGACACAGACATATATACACATGCAGATGTACACTCCTCCCCCCTCCAAACGCCTTCGACGCTTATTCCCCTCCGATGCTGACGGTGGATCAAGGACACCAGCGCA